GAAGCGGCTAACAGAGGCAGCAGACTCCCCTCCCTGGTCTGCAGAAGCCAGCAGATTTTGGGAGCATCCTCTCCAAGGCAGGTTCGGCAGCGGAGACCGAGGCTGCGACATCCCGCACAAGTCTCTGCCCACGTCTCCCGCTTGTTCCCTGCAGTGAGGAGAATAAAATACTGTAGGTCAGTGCAGATATTTGGAGCTGGAGGAAAACTCTTTGTGTTTATGGTGGGGAAGCATGCTTACAGCTCTCGCCCTGCGCCTACAGAGCCTGCTGAGAGGGGTCTTGGCCCCTCTGCTGACCCACCTCTCTGGTCCCATGGACCGATGCAGTGGCACTGAACTGGGTTCAGCGCAGGACCCGTGCAACCCCTCTGCCTGGTCACGGTAACAAAAAGGGCTGGATCCTGTCTCTCCGAAAGCTCATCCTCGTACCTTTAGTGGCTTTGTGTGTTTTACCTCCGAGCACATCAGGCTACAGCCCCATCCCACCGGCCTGTAACCCCGCTTCAGACGGGCCCCCCTGCCGCGTACACCCTCCCCGTGTGATGAACACGGGACCACTCCCCTCGCTGGCCCCCGTCTCATTTTCAGGGCTTCAGGGAGAGCAGTAAGCAGCATTTGCCTCCGGTCCATGGGCTAAAGCTCACCAGGCAGGGGCTGGCACGCTTGCAGGGGTCATAATTTGAAAAAGGCAGAAACTGCCAATCTACAGTCCTGTCCGCTTTCCTGAGCCGAACCCACCCCGTTACCTGTCGTTTCCTTTCAACAAGCTCTGACAACATACATACCTATTCATTCCACAGCTCCCCTGCTCTGTGTGTATTCGCCTGCCTTACGTTTCCTCCTCCCTTGTTCCCTACCTGTCTATCCCACACAAATACTCGTCTACCTCAAGCCTACCTGGATGTGTGATTTAACCACTGGTTGCATGTATCACTCTGTTCAATACATCTTCACCTACCTGATCTCTGATCTGAGATTGTAATTATGAATTTCTTATTTACTTGCACACTCTGAGCTCTCTGGTATAACTGTTCTACACAGACATATTTAATTTGTTCATCTCTACCTTAGGTCCACTCATTTAGTCAACCCTCCTACCTCCCCGTAGCTAATGAATACCATATAACTTTACAATACATAAAACTGACAACTCGAACTCTGACATATTTACCTAATCTTCTTTCTTTTGTTTTGTATCAGCTAAATACAAATATATCATATATTTCTACCTGTTCCTCTAAGGTGCAAGGTTAAGATTAAGTCAGAGATAGGCTTAAGTCTTACTGCTTAGAGTTAGGGTCAGAGTTTGGTTAGGGTTAGGGTTGGGTTGAGATTGGTTTAGAGTTAGCGATAGGGTTGGCTCAGCATTTAGGATTATGTTTAGGTTATGTTTGGGTTAGGATGAGGCATGGGTTAGGTTTAGGATAGGATTGTGATTAGCATCAGGGTCAGTGGTAGGTTTCAGCTTGCGTTAGGGTTAGGTAGTGGGTGCAGAGTTTTAGGTGAGGTTAGGGTTAGTGCTATGTTCAGATACTGTTGGGTTAGGGTTAGGTTTGGCTTAGTGTTGTGTTAGGATAACCTTTAAGCATTGGGTTGGGTTTGTGTCAGGATTTAGAATTAGGGTTAGTTTTAGGATTGGTTTGGGAGTCACACCTCAGCCTTGCTCATGTGATTTCTCTATGCTTATTTCTTGTGCAAACAGATCTGTTCTCCTTCTGTCCATCTTACAACTGCAGATCACCTAATTTTCTCTCCCCCACATCCCTGTAGGTGTTCCTAGTTGAGTTTCATAACACTTAGCAATCCACTTTCCCCATGTATTCTCATTTACCTGACCTCTTTGCCTATTTTGCAAACGTTCATGTCTCACACATCTAGTCTATCTCACGTCTACTAATTGCTCTCATCCTTTCTTATAGCACTAATGCATTCACCACTTGTGCTTTTACCTGTCATGCCTAAGACATCAATACAACTAACATCACAATTAATGACCTTTTTTCACAGTCTCTTTTATACATGCTCATTAAGCTAATGCCTGTGACTACTTACCTATCTGATCAATCTGATGCAAATTTTAATTAATCTCTCCAGATTTCCATAGCACATGGTAAACTATATGTTTTCATGCCCCTCCTTGTTACATCCATATTCATCTCTCTGCTCACTCGTACCCACTCTGATGAGCTTCCTGGTACCCAGTCATCTGTGTGTGCACCCACATCCTTCTTCATCAGTCATCCTGTCCAGGATTTACTTCCCCATTTAACACCCCTCTAATTCGTACTTGATCATCAGGCTAATTTCTCAACACTCCCAGCTCATGAATACTTCCCTGTCTCTTTATCTACCCAATACCTAGTCCAACCTGTTAGCTCGCTAATTGTTCCAAGCTTGTTTTTTCAGCATAATGTCTTTATTCTGTATGAATTTTATATGTAATCTATTTACTCCATGCCTATTTTATCCGACTCTTCCTTAAGTGTTTTTTTTTTGCTTTTTCCCATATCTACTCTTCTCTCCTGTCTGTGCATTTTGTCTTTTTTTGTACCTACCCAATACTTCCTTCGCTCATCTATGTCTGTACATCACCTTTTTCGCACTTCTATGTCTTTGTATTTGCAGGGAGTCTCGATGACTAGATACCCTCCCTATGGGTGTTACTCATCTATTACTCTTCATCTATTAACTCCGTTATTGTTCTTTTATCTGTTCCTCCCTCTATCTACATTCCCCATAATCAATGACCTATTCACCCTATCAGCCCATATTTTCTGGCTGTATTAGTCATATATTTATTTCATCCTTCCAACTATCTTTCCATCCTTTTACCCAGACAACACATGTTCTGTCTGCTCTAAACCTGTCCATCTCAATTTAATCTCTTTCTCTTTTGGCCTTTAATTTATTAATCTGCTCTCTACAGGTTTATCTAGTCAATCTAGCTAATACAAGCTCAGTTAGTAGTCAGTAAGTCAGTATATATACCCTTTTCTTCATCCACCCATCCATCCCATTTCTACTCAGCTGACCTAACCCCAGAATATTCACAGTATTTCTAGTGGATCACCTCTTCCTCCTTACGTCCATGTTCCCCTTTTAGAACTGTTAGTGCCACTGTTGCTCATGTCATTTTTATTTAATTTATGTAGCCCAGAATATCTTTACCTAAACAAGTTAATTGATACAGATATCAGTTCATGTCTCTATTTATTCCATATGTCCCGCTAAGGTTTCTATTATACCTGTACTTATCTACTTGCTACCTATTACAGCAACGTATTTACAATACCTACTTGCGATAGTCCACATTTCCATATTTTAATCTATCCACATTACGTTTACTCTGCTTAACTTCCCAGCCACCCAGCAGTTACTTTACCTACTCAATTCAGCTTTCTCTCTTCCACATTTATCTGTTCCACACCCATTCAACAAACCAATATGTAATACACAGACATCTATTTGCTCATTTTAATATGGCTGTCAGGCTCGGATATGCTGCAATCAATCCCATACATATTTAACTGTCTAGCTAATTTCAGGTTTATTCTAAGCTTTCTGTGTTTTCTTTCTCTCTTTCTTTCTTTCTTTCTTTCTTTTTCCCCTCTATAGTTCTCTCATACCTAGCTCTACATTTTCAAATATTTCTGGTTTATGGTAAATCCAGCCAGCGCCTCTTCTGTGTACATATTTATCCCATGGGTTCACTATGCAGTCCATCAGCCACCTCATCCCTAGCTCCACTACCCAGCTATCCAGCCAGCTCCTACGTAAACTTTCCAGCCACCCAGAAGGCCCTTGCTCTAACAGAACACATCCCACATGTATTCTACTTATCCTGATGTGCATCAGGACCACACTTACCATACCAAACCCCTGGCTAGGCCGTCCAGTCTATGTCAAATACACATGCTTTCCCTCCATCATCACTTCTTCTGTATTAATATCAAATTATCCACCCTCTGCACAGACCCTGTATATGTCTATGTAATGATGCCAATTATTCTAATTCATCCATCCCCTACGTACCTGTGTATCTCTACCCATTTATTTCTGTATGTTTATCTGAACTGTCCATCAGTTTACACCATAAAATCCAGCAACGAACACATGGGGCCATTCGATCAGGGTACCCAACATGCTGTCCCTCGTTATACAAGAGGTAATTCAGTTCAAAGTAACTTCAGTAATAATGCTTTTATCACTCTCAGTGACCCAGCCCTGTATCAGGCTGATGGGTACAGGGATACAGAGAACAAGAATGCATATTGTTTAAATGTCACGTAACCCCACTTGTCTCAAAGCAGAAATAACAGCCAGTTGCTAACAAGTAGAAGTTTGCTCCTGACATGGCAGGGGGTGTGTGTGTGGTCAAGACCATTATGCCAACAAGATGAAGAGAAGTGGACATTGGGAACAGACAAAATAATCGTCACTGCTTCTGTGAAATGTGTGATTTTCATGGTATGGGACCGATTTCCAACTTCGAATACTCACGTGGCTGTGGCAGCTGCCGTGGTGTTATGTGGGTACGTCTTTTGTCATCATATATATCAGGGCAAGAGAATTGATATCAATGGTTCCCACCTGAGCTTTCCACTGTCTCCTTGTAAGTTTGATTTCCTATTTTTTTCTGGTATTCTGAATCCTTCCCTGGCCAGGCAAATCTACACCTGCCTGCAGCTGTTCCTACAGGAGTTTCTATACTGTAAAATGATACCCTCCCTCTTCTCACTCTTAGCCACCTTTTTTTTTTCCTGCTCGCATTCTGGACTCTGACCTGGGTTCAAACAAGAGCCTCACAGGGCCAACCTGCGTGCCTGAAGGGGGGAAACTTTTGAAGCCCCGAGTTTGGAAGTGTTCAGCCCCACGAATTTGGATTATCAGGACGCTGAGCTGTGGGATTTGGGGTTTGAATGCTTTGCTGTTATTTTATCTATTCTCAGTTACTCTCCGAAACGAAACCGGTATCACTTGATGCCAAAAAAATATTGGGATCAGCGGACCATAAGGTGGCAAAGACTGGCAAGGCAAGTCTGGAAGTGCGTGGAGTTATGCTCCCAGGTGCCGCAGAGGGAGCCGAGGACCGGGATGCCCAGGGAGCCTTTGCTGAGTCCTTGCAAGTCACACACGGGGAAGAAGCTGGGGGAGAGGAGGGCAGGAGTCAGGAAACTCTTGGGAAAGTGTCATAAATACCTCTGGATATTCCCCGAGATAGCAGAGCCCGTACATGCACTGCTGGCCGCAATCACCAGCCTCTGTGAGAAATTGTTTGTCTTGGTCTTTGCATTAGGTAAATGCCCAACCCAAATTCACTGATAAAAGCAGACACCGAAAAAAAAAGAAAAAAAGGAAAGAAAAAACAACCCAGAGACAAGGTCTCCTTGGGCCCCCAATCAACAACAAAAAAGGCAGCAACCAGACAGCCATTTAGTGAGCATCTCAAAGCTATCTACCGTCTGCTGGAGGGGCTTTAAAGGCATCAGATTTGTGTGTTTGGCTCAAGCCAAGCGAATTGTAGTCTAAAGCTTTTCCTTGAATTCAAGGCTGTGTTTACTGCAGTCAGGTCGAGGGGAAGGAGGCAACCCCAAAGCCCTCCCTCCTCCTCTTCCCCCACCCTGCAAGCCCCAGGCTTGAAACTTGATTTAAAAAAAAAAATACAAGATTGAATTTCAGTTTGCAGGATTAGGGAGATGACTTTTAGGGGCTGCTTGTTGGAAAAAAAGCAAAGCAAAGCAGCTGGGAGGGATTAGGCTGAGCTGGCGTCTGCACTTTCAACTGATTCAATTTTGCTCCACAAGACATTGTATCTGAGCCTTTCTGGAGACTATTCAAAGCAAATCATTTTCATTTTACCATTTGGTAAGTGATCAGAGTCTATTTTTAGTGTCTTGGAAGCGTCGGGTTTTTTCTCTCTCTCTCCTTTTCTTTTCTTTTCTTTTCTTTTTTTTTTCTTTCTCCATTTTCTTCCACAATTGAGTATCTGCATTTGGGGTATCAAGAACAGGCATGTTTGGAGGGAATGTTTACCACAGCCAGCAGCTTCAATTTATTTTATGCCTCACTTCAAGAAGAAAAGGCACCAAAGAGTGGTTGGAGGTGGCAGGGCTGTCAAGCCATGCTCTCAGAAAGCCTCCCAGAGCTCAGGCTCTGCACCAGTTTGGTTTTTTCAGGTGATTCCTTAGAATTTTGGCAAATCCAGCCAGCTGCATGTGGGTCCCTGCAGCCTGCAGGGCTGTGAGCAGAGGTTTGGGTCCCTGAGCCCAGCAAGTATGGGGCAGGGGGGGACTGGGATGCAGCTGAGGGTCCAAGCTGATGTTTTTCCAGCTGATCCTTTCCACAACCCCCCCACAAAGGTTAATTTGGCAACTCGGTGATATTTTACAAAACCTTTGGTGCCTTCTCTGCATTTTTCATTGATAAAAACAGAAATCAGAAAACCTTTTTGAAAATAAGAAAAGGAAGAAATAAATCTTACCACTTATTGGGGGGGGAAATGCTTTTCCTTGCAGTTTAAATGTATTTTTCCACATTTTGCTTTTTCTTAATTTCCCTTTACTGAAAACGGAAGGGTTTGAAGGGTGGTTTGGGGTTTTTTTCTTTCTTTCTTTCTTTTCTTTTAATTCTTGAAGCTGTTTGGTCTGGTACATTGCTCCACAAACTGAAACCCCTCTACAAAAGGGGGTACAGGCTGGGTGAGGGTCCCACAGCATCATCCTCTGGTCCTCCCTGGCCACAGCAGTTTCCTTAGACTTTGGGGAGGACAAGGGGCTGGGTTGCCCTCACCGAAAGTACTGCTTGAGCAAGGCTTTTGCAAGCAATGGTTAAAAATGTTTCTCCTGCTGGCCTTGCCACAGATTCATTGTGTACCTTTAGGGCAAGTTATTTATTCTCTTTGCATCTTCCCTTACATAAAATGCCTGTAACAGGGACCAGAAAATGATAAATGCTAGGGCGTTTTCCTCCCCAGACTGTATTGCAAAATAGTTTGCTTCGGGAGCACTAATGCCTTCCTCTGTTCCCTAACCGAGAGATGGCAGATAACTGACGCAATATCAAACACTGCATTTTCAAATCAAAAAGCCGACCTCTGGACGAGAGTCCTCGAGGATGAATGTTTTTCCTTCTTCTATTATATACTTCAGGAGGTTTTTTTTCTATTAGTGATGTCTATAGAGCACTTGCTTTGTGTAACAAGGTGCAGATTGCTTCCCAAATCAAGCGGGTGAGTTTATTCAGTTTAGTTTGTCCGTAAAATGGGGATAAGGCATCGTCAGCCCCCGATGGGCATCCCTGTGGTGGTGCGGGGTTTTTCGGAGGGATGCTGGCAGCAGCCCTCTTGGGACCAGCAGTCATTTGAGAACCACAGGGCCGCTCACCATGAGCACTTACACTGGCAAGATGCAGCTCAAAAGGATGGCGTAAAGCAACAAAGAGGAATGTAATAAACCACTAGCTCTGTGCTGGGGCAAGGACAGTGTGGGAAGTCCTAAAGGCACCAGATCCAAAAATGAAGCCACGGGTGAGGCAGGGCCACTGGCAGGGAGACCACCCCCTGCCCCATGAGTAGGACCTTTAGGAAGGTTTGGTGGGATGTCTAGGGTCAGCTATTCCTCAAAAACACGGAAGAAGCCTCCCCTGCCTTGTCCTTGGTGTCCTGGGCTGAGCCTGTAGTCTGGCTGGGTGTTTTAGCCAACACAATCCCCCACTCCACAGAGCCAGGCAGCAAGAGCTGCTAGCTATTGTAATAGCAACAATTATTTATTCACAAGCTGGAGCAAAAAGGAATCTGCAAGCAGGGGGAGAGAAGGGGGAGCAAAACACAACCTGATCTTGTAAAAGAGAGACTTAAAAAATACCATACATGAAGGTCCTTGCACAAGCTTTTTATTTATCAGTCTGCAGTCAGAAGAGGCGAATGCACTAAGTGCGTGGCACACAGGGAACTGGGGGTAGGAGGGTCTCTTCTAATAAAAAAGAATGGGTCTGAACAAAGAAAAAGGTTCTGCTAAACTGATGGTGGCAGATGGCATCAGCCCCACCATGTTCCCCTTCAATTGCGGGAAAATATAGTAAAGCAATTTAATGAAAACGCTTAAATAAGCAAACAGTGCAGTTAATTGAACCCATATGCATTAGGAAGGAAATCTAAAGTATACTGATTCATTAAGTTTTATATAACTGTAAACCCCCAGAACCTAAGACAGAGTAAGAAGCCATGATGAAGTGCCAACTAGAAGGAGACCTTCTACCCAGCTTCACTTGGATCTGTTTTGTTATGACAAGAACAAGTGGTTTTAACAAGTACACCATAAATCAGGAGTGTGTGCTCCAGCCTGGAGTCTTCCAGGTACCAAACTGTGCTGCAAACTCACATTCCTTTTCTTCTGGTAGAGTTGTTTTATTTTCCAAGAGAGAAATAACTGGAACTTGGATGCTGCCATCTGCAAAAAAAATAAGCAGTGAAGAGCTGGTCCTTGAGGTCTTCAGTAATTTTTTTTTATTCAAGAAAACTTAGCTTCATATCTAGATGATGCTCCCTGAGTCATGTCTAACTGAAGGCCACAGGTTCATCGCACTTGGCATTGACTGGTAAAACAAAATCCTCTCTTTTGCAGTGACCTTGCCTCTCCGGCCATGACCTTTTGGGTAGAGAGGTGGTGTAGACAGAAAGCTGGGGCTGGGAAAGGCAGCAGGTTTGCTGTCTAACAGGCTTCTCTCTTCCAGAGAGCTTCTGCTGTACCCACAGTTTAAAAACTGTCCAAAAAGAAAATCCTGGGGAGAAAGCAGCTCCGGCCCCATTGAAGCAAGTGCAAAAATTCCCTTTGATTGCAAGAAGGGCAGAACTTCACCTACAGATGAGGAAACCTTTGGAGATGCTTGGTTCAGGATTTGCCTCCTGTGACTTGGGTCTGGAGATACCGACTTGTTCCCGCTTTCACCGAGCTCTCTCCAGCTCATGAAACAAGATCTGTTCAGTTTTCAGAGAAGTCTGGTTCACTGCAAATAAAAGCCAACAAGTGATGATGAATTGATCCCAAGCCACGTAAACAACTGAGAGCTGGGCTTTGGGGCTTCCAGTGATGCCGATTCAAAGTGCCTTTACAGTGACCAGAATGAGAAGACCTTCGTCCTCAGTAACTTTGGTCTGAAATTAAGGTGACCTACAGGCAAGAAGAGTCTCAAGCTAATTGGAAGGGCAACTCAGAGCATCCAGGCTGGTTCAGGAGGTCATCAGTAACCCACGAAGACACCAAGGCCTTTCCCATTCACATTCACCTGCTGATATGCCCAACTCAGTGGATGGGGGATGTAACAGGAGAAAAAGCTACAAAAGCAAAAAATTGCAGAATTAAGTTTTCATGCACAAAGGTTGATCAGGGAGGGTAAATCATTGCACAGTACAATTCTTTGTGCTCGGGACTAAAAAAACCAACCACCTGCAAATAAGCACAAAGAAAGCAAGCATCTTTTATGAACACACATAATATTATGGAAAAATACCTTGATTTAAAAACCAATAAAAATAAAGGCACAAAAGACTTCTAGGTGGGGTCTTCATAGAGACTTACGAGTGTGACCAGTTCTCAGTCTCTCCCCAGGTGACCCCGTGGGCGCTGTGACATGGGGCTCCCAAGGGATGGGGAGCGATGGGGGCACGAAGGTGCATGAGGTGGCCTGACCCTGCCACCCAGATCGCTTCGGCCGTGCTGCAAAATAGATGCAGCCACTGTCTGAAGGAAAAAGAAATGCCGGTAGGTGAATACAGCAGCCCCTGTTTGAATTTCCTGGATGTCAGGCACAGTTAATGTTAGGGAGACAGAGGGAGAGCTGAAGTATTGGCCCCAATTCAACAAAGCACTTAAGCACAAGCTTAACTGTAAGTACGTACTTAAGTCCGTCTTTATATAGCAGAACATATGTTAACGCCTGGCTGAAGCCTGTGTTAAGTGCATGCTTAAAGTTAAGTGTCTGCTTAAGAACTTTGTTGAATCAGGGCTGTTGTTTACTTCTAACAATTGATGTCTCCTACAATATCCACATTTCTGGTTGCAAACCTGACGCATCTGTTTTCTCTTAATGTTATTAATAGAGTAATTCTTTAAAAAATATACGGCGACACGGTCCTTGAAAAATCTGGA